TTTTTTTTTTAACGTTTATTTATTTTTGAGACAGAGAGAGACAGAGCATGAACAGGGGAGGGGCAGAGAGAGAGGGAGACACAGAATCTGAAACGGGCTCCAGGCTCTGAGCTGTCGGCCCAGAGCCCAACGCGGGGCTCGAACTCACGGACCGCGAGATCGTGACCTGAGCCGAAGTCGGACGCTTAACCGACTGCGCCACCCACCCAGGCGCCCCCAACTCCCATTCTTTGAATACACTTGAACTTCCCACATGACAGTAGCAAGAAGCTCCTTTATTCAATGCATCTATACTGACAGGCTGTTATGCACTAAGCACGGTTCTAAGCCCTGAGGCCTAGAGAACAAGGTACACAAAGATCCTGTTCTCAGGGAGCTTTCATTCTAACAGGGAGAGAAAAATAATAAACAAATACAGGAAATATTTTCAGCTAGTTACATGCTATGAAGAAAAGTGAAGCAGGGTTAAGAAGCCAGAGGTGATGAGGGAGGGCAGGGGAGCAGTTATTCTGAGTAGGTCTATTGAGGAAAGGTGCTTCTGAGGTGGCAACTCTCAGGTGAAAACTGAATGAAGTGAAGAAGTAGGCAAGGGGAAGACATTCTAGGCTGAGGCAACGGCCAAACGCAGAGCGCCGAAGGCCAAAATAAGTTTACTAGCTTGATATATCTAAAGATATAAAGTCAGTATAGTGGAGCAGGAAAAAAAGTAGTACAAAAGATTAGAACAGTAATTAAGAGAAGCCAGTATTTTTTAGGGAATTTCAGGGGCTATTTTTGACTTAAAACAGAAACGTCTTTTACTTTTTAAACTCTACCCAAAAAGTTCATGTAAAATTACATGTCCACTTCTCTAAGTACAATGTAAAATGTATTTTTCTTAGTGATTCAGACTCAATGTTGCTGCGAGAAACATAAACAAGAAAAGGAGCCCAAAGTACGTTTAGTCCAGGAGGTATATGAAAATGGTACACAGTTTTTGCTATTTTTAAAACTAAACAACCGCTACTCTTGTATTCTAATACCTTTCTCTTTTTCCTAAAACTTAAGTCCCAAACTCTAAGTAATTGAAGTTCCCGCACAGTTCGATTTTAGTCAGGTTTCCCTAAGCTGACACCTCATGGTAAAGACCAAGATGTAGAAATAAATAAGGAATACAATTCTGCAGGCTCATCACCTGCCAATTTCCCCCCCATAATCCAGCTGCACTGTACTGTTTTAGTTTCTGAATTCAGTCTGCTCTCTCCTGCCTCAGAACTTCTGCATACGTCACTCCCTGGGTCAAAACTCTTCCCCACCCTCTTCATTAATCAACTCCTGTACTTCTTTGAGGATTCAGCTGAAATCAAACACAAGAAAATTACTCTCATTGTAGGAGTCCCACCTCCTTGCACTCATGCCCAGTTACTTGCTCCTGTGGTAGGTACCCTTTACGTGGTCCACGACAGCAGGCTCTCCACCGTTATGCTCTGATGCATTTTCAAGAAGAGTCCAGACTATAAAGCCAGACTGCCTAACGTTGAATCCTGGGTCTGACTTCCTACCTACGTGACTTTGGTCAAGTTCCTTACCTCTCTATGCCTCAGTTTCCACCTTTGTAAAAGGGAACTGATAATCACACCTACAACTCATAATGCTGTTGTCAGGATTAAAAGATTTTATTTCACTTAATTCAATTTAACTTAATTGTGATTAAATTTAAATGTATGTGCCTTATACATAGTAAATATTCAATACATGTTCCCTATTGTTTGTTGAAAACATAAAGGAACATGTCAGAATAAAGAGATCTGGAAAAGCTTTCTTCACAGAACTTACTTTTTTTCTCAGGTTCTGACATAAACATCACTGCCATATCAAACCTTTTTAGTTCAGAAAGTCTCTGTAAGATTTCAAAGATGAGTGATGGCTCTTCTTTCCTGAAATAATCCAAATATAAAACAAATGATTAAAAGTAGCTCATTTAATTCTGTTTTTTTCTAACACAGTATTTCTAATTATATAGAAATAAGACCTCCATTTATCTTTCTCCCTGGATACAGTCTATATTTTAAGTGCCCAAAGGAAGAGATTTATCGTCAACTGAAGAAATTACAATATTCCTAAATGTGAAGCTTAGCACAGACTTTATTAACTTGCTATCACATCTGTCACTTCTACACCTTCCTTTCTTTAAAAAAAGTTTTTTTAAGGGGCGCCTGGGTGGCTCAGGCAGTTAAGCGTCCGACTTCGACTCAGGTCATGATCTCACGGTTTGTGAGTTCGAGCCCCACATCAGGCTCTGTGCTGACAGCTCAGAGCCTGGAGCATGCTTCATGCTTCAGATTCTGTCTCCTCCTCTCTCTGCCCCTCCCGTGCTCATGCTCTGTCTCTCTCTGTCTCTCAGAAACAAATAAACGCTAAAAAAAAAATTAAAAAAAAAAATTTTAAGTCCTTTTTCCTCCTACCTAGTCATTTCTCTTTTTATTGCTTGCATTTGTCACCTTTTTACAACTTCTGTAATGCTGAAATTTACTAGAAAGCTGATTTAGTTATACAGAAGGTAGTAATAATGAAATCCAAGAGAATGACTTTCCCAAATCACTAGAAACAGCGTAACATTACAATACACAGGTATAAGGGAAAAAAAATTCAACTTACTCAATGTAAAAGTCATGCAGAATTTTAATGATTTGGTTGAATACATCTGGATCTAGATTCTTCTGAAACAACTTAGGATACATGGATGGTTCAATTTTCTTGGAAGAGATATAAAGAGTTAGAAAACTACATTATGGCAACATTCACATATCACAAATTATGTATATAACAATTGCTTAGGTGAATATGGTAAAGAATAACTATTATGCATTAGTCCTTACTGAGTAATAATGAGGTCACAGTGAAATGTAACTGTGATAGAACAAAAGTTAGAGGAGCTGTAAGATAATCACTCTGCTCAAGGCAGAAAAAAATCTCATGAACAGAGAGATGGAGATGTACACCCCCTTAGGAGAGACAGGAAACTTGAGAGTGCTCTCAAGGAGCAATAAAAATAACCAGACAGTTTAAAAAATAGAATTACATGAGACAATGTATTTAGAAGTAATTGCGTTCTGGAAAATTGCAAGGGATTATTACTGTAATCACACTTGAGAAAGACAATGCTAAAATCCATTGTTTGGTCAATTTCATAAGATTTGTTCTTTTTCTGGGAGCAAATAAGAGCTCATTTTCGGGAGAATGACTGCCTAAATATTGCAAGCAGTTGCTTGGGGCACATGGAAGGCACTCAATGTATTTTAACTTCTTAAAGAAGTTAAAGAAGAATGAAGAATTAAGTTTAGGTTATGGTTTTTCAAATTAGATTAAGTTATTTTAGACCACAGAATTTAACACAGAACCTATTTCCAAAGGCTTCCTGGTTGCAAATATTTAAAATAGTCTGGCCAGGGTAATATATGCATTCAGCAAGTGCTCTACAACCCTCTTATACAAGAGCAAATACAGTACTCTTATTATATAGTGACAAAAGCAGCTCTGACCTTTCACTTAACTAGAACTGCTAGCTTCCTCTTTCTTACCTTCACATACCGATACAACAGATCTGGGGAATTTTTAAGTTGTCTGAAATCAGATTCAAGCTGAAACGAGTTTGCAGGAACAGGAGGAAGAACAGTAGTGATAAACTGAGCAGGTGCTCTGTCTATCTGTATAGAAGTCTTCTCACTCAAAGACTGACACATATCCTGTTTCAGGTTGACTTGGGGTCTGAAATATTTCAGAGGCATCAAACAATTAGAAAAGAACCACAAATCGTCAAAGCTTATATAAGGAGACATCAACAGAGATTTTTTAATTTCTGACTTTACTAATGTATTATTGTAACTATTTATATTCTGCACATAGCAAATTCTTTTAGCTGTCCATATCTGTATTTTTGGTAAGACAGATTATACTTTTGCAAATTTTCACATACTGGCTATATAACAACTATTCTCACCTATAGGGCTAATATAATATAACATGGTCACCTTTTAAAGCGCACCATTTCTATATACAACATTACTACATCACATACACTCACAACTCAGCCTTTCCGAAATCTGAATTAGCACGTGTCAAGAAAGATACTCCAAGACACTAAGTGCTTCCTCCTTTAAAAAAAATATCTGCCTACTTAGTGTTTTCCTCAAATCACTTATCACTATCACTTTAAATAAAACCACTGAAATTCAACATTAAAAAAAAAACTTTTAATAGGATTGCTGAGTGGCAATACAAAAATGGATGAATAAAGCTTCAACATCCCAAAATAAACCTAATTAATCTATATCTTTTATGTTCTTACCATTAAGCATACATATGACTATTTTAAAATTCCAAGCATAATTTAAGGAGCCCACAAATAATCTTATGCATTAATGACTAGAATAACGATGACTAAATTCTACACTTTTTATGAAGCTTCCTTTTAAAAAATTAAAGATTTTTAGGAGTGCCCGGGTGGCTCAGTCAGTTAAGTGTCCGACTTCGGCTCAGGTCATGATCTCACAGTTCGTGAATTCGAGCCTCATATCAGGCTCTGTGCTGACAGCTCAGAGCCTGGAACCTGCTTCATACTCTGTGTCTCCCTCTCTCTGCCCCTCCCCCACTTGTGCGCACTCTCACTCTCTCTCTCGCTCTCAAAAATAAACATTAAAAATTTTCATAAAAAAGAAACTAGGGGCGCCTGGGTGGCGCAGTCGGTTAAGCGTCCGACTTCAGCCAGGTCACGATCTCGCGGTCCGTGAGTTCGAGCCCCGCGTCAGGCTCTGGGCTGATGGCTTGGAGCCTGGAGCCTGTTTCCGATTCTGTGTCTCCCTCTCTCTCTGCCCCTCCCCCATTCATGCTCTGTCTCTCTCTGTCCCAAAAATAAATTAAAAACATAAAAAAAAATGTAAAAAAAAGAAACTAAAGATTTTTCTAAATTAAAAAGTGAAATACATACACTGAAGTTCTAGAACAAAAATGCACAGAATCAATTTGCTCAAGATACTTTATTTCTAACTCTCCCACTATGGTATAGGAATAGCGATCACACCTTAAACGAAACCTCTCTTACAGTTAAGTACAAATGAAAAAGAAAAACTAGAATGTGAAGTTGGGCAGTTCAAAGAATTTTGGTGATGAGCACAAACCAGAAGTCTCATCAGTAATATCAACTTTCTAGTGAATTATAACCATTCCAGATGAGTATAAAATAAGAGTATTTCTTCTACTCACGGCCGGGCTGAAGTATCACTGATTTCTTCTATTTTCAGTACTTTTGCTTTTGGAATATCACTTGTGGGCAAAAGGTCATCTTGGCTTGAATTTTTCTTACTTGTAGCGCCTGCACTTGCTATCCCATTTGCCAGAGTAATGTTATTAGCAGCAGTATCTGGCACATCAATAGTCTGTATCAAATTACCAGTTTCTTCAATAATAACCTTCTTGAGTGGTTTCTAAAACAATTAAAATCAATTCTTTAAATCAACGTATTAGGGTTTTCTATTTTAGGATCACAAATTAAAAGGTTGCAGTGTTCTTACAGCTGATACCGGCTACGTATTTGGAGAATGTACTTGGATTTTAATTTCCCAGACTAACAGTTGTAAGTAAATTCAATTTGATGGTTAGACACACAACAGGAGTCATACTCTGAGAATATAAAGACTAAAAAGATACACAGTCCCTACCATATGGAAGTCTAAATGGGAGAAAGAAGAGATGCTCCTATACATAATTACAAGACAATGGGATGCATGCTATAAAAGGTGAAGTACAAAATGCTAAGAGAACAAGGGAGGCTTCACAGAAAAAGGACACATGAACGGCAATGTGGAAGGGCACTGCATGGTCAGTGGAAATATGAGAAGTCCAATGGGGCTGGTGCAAGGGGAGGAGTGGTGGTATGGACAAAGCCTGAAAGGCTCCTTAAAGGCAGTTTATAAAGGAATTATGCGTCATGTCAAGGAGTTTGGACTTCATCCTACAGGCAACAAAGCCAAGAAAAATGATAGCCAAACCTACAGTGGGCTAACTGAAGACACGCAGAAAAAGGTCAGGCAGTTAATTAGTATTCTGTATGAAACAGACTAACATTAAAATCGAAGTCAATTTTCTAATATGTAGCAGCTGGATAAAACCAGCAAAGGATTAAAGATCTGCCAAATATATTCACGAAGTTGGTCAGACTTGACCATATAGTTTTTAATTTAATAAAATAAATAGGGTTCACTCTTTCAGTCACTGTGTCAAACACGTTCAATTTCTTCTTAAGTTTACATATAATACTCTGTTAGTAATAAAAAATTTTTCTTCAATATAATCTAAGTGTTCGTTCCAACTGTATGGTTGAACTTTAAATCAAAATGTTGTAGATATAAAAACTTTTGGGGGGCGCCTGGGTGGCTCAGTCGGTTGGTTGAGCATCCAACTTCGGCTCAGGTCATGATCTCATGGTTTGTGAGTTCAAGCCCTGTGTCAGGCTCTGGGCTGACAGCTCAGAGCCTGGAGCCTGCTTTGGATTCGGTGTCTCCCTCTCTCTCTGCCCCTCCCCTGCTCATGCTCTGTCTCTCTGTCAAAAATAAACAAAGATTAAAAAAAAAAAAAAAACTTTTTTGACACATGTACTGAACTCAATGACATACAAACTCAATGTTAAATGCAGACATTCTATTAACACAGCTAAGACTAACAGTTAACAACCAAATGTTACTGGATGAATAAAACTTTTAAAAGCCATTAGCAAATTTGTTAACAGAATCACAGTAGCAGTTCTATTTAAAGTGCAATTACGTTAAGCTAAGGCCTTCGCTTTGCTGAGAAAAATCAACAGCAACAGTTTTCTATGACGATATTAACCAAGAATGGGCATGTGTTAGTGCTGCAAAATAAACTGTCATTTCTGACAGGCAATAATCATTGAACTAAATCAATACAGTCCCATTTAAAGCCAAATCCTTTCACGGACAACAGATGTGTCAACATGATCCCAATTTTAAAATTTCCTAATCGGTGGTCTCTATTAAGTGTAGGCAGCTCCCACTGGGAGCTGCTGAGGGCTACTGATGGTTAGGGGGGCAGGGGGAATGACAGTATGCTGGTTAACAGGAGTCAAACACAAAAGATATCACTACAGAAAGATGTAAGAATATATGAAAGCTTCAATTAACCATTTTTTTTAATTAAATTTAGATGCATGACATTTTACTTAGCTCTATATGAATATGGCCATTTCAAGAAAAGGAAGAGAAAAATAATAAACAGAAAGGGAGAAAGAGATGGGAAGTACCAGGTAGAAAGGTGAAGTTTTGCTACAGGAAAACAGAGAAATGAAAATAAAGTATTTCAGCAGAGGCTATGAGATCAGGAAACGCTTCATTTACTACCACCCATTAGGGAGCCCCAGGTCCCAGATAATCTACATCACTGCTCTTCTACATTCTCTCTGGAGATTTGCCAAAAGTGCTCTCAGGCTGTCAGCCCTTGAAACAGAGACTTCCCTGGCCTAGGCTCTCACTTGACTAAAATCATCCTAGGACTCTCTCCACGTCCTGGGCTTTCCTCTCTTTCCTGACCACTTTTCCCGTGATCGGGTTCCTGAAAAGGAAATTAATATTCATCTCACCTAAAACTGCCTTAGCGTTAATCGGTATTATTTCCTTTGATCTAAACTAACCTGGGAGTTATTCTCAAGGAGAAAAAGTAAGGATCACACAGGGATTTGGTAACTGGCCCAAGACTTCAAAGTTTATGAAGGGGGACTAAAATCAACTCTTAAAAACATTACATCAAACTGCAATTTGATTTTTTAAATAACACCCACTTTTTTACTATAGAGACCTATTATAAAAATAAACAGCAATTTTCCCTTCCCCGCTAGGATACTGATTTTGTCTGGGATCATTTACAGAATGGTTCACCTCAGATGTCTCATTTCATAGAGGTGTTTTGTTTTGTTTTGAGGTCTTCCCACAAAAGATTTAAATACATGTTGCGTTTTCAAACTATTAACATAAACTGATTTTTAAAGTGAGGGAGAAGAGAACCTAACAAATATATAAAAGCTCCTCAGGGCACACTGGCCATGGTACATCACATACACAGATATTTGGTTTACTACATGTCAATGTTTTTATAATTATGGACAACGAAGTCTGACAAAAGTTTTTAAACCTTGTGAATTAATTTTTGTGAAAACATCTTACAAAGATGCAAAAGTTTAAACCACTTTTAATTAAACATCTGATCACCTTTACTGAAAAGAACAGAATAGCAGCACATTAACATAATGTATGAAAATGAATACAATGTATAAAAGCTACTAGGTTTATGCCTGGCATATGAACAAGTACAGTCTCAGAATAAAGTCACAGTAAGAACACTAGGGGGCGCCTGGCTGTCTCAGTCAGTACAGCATGCGACTCTTGATCTCAGGGTTCTGAGTTCAAGTCCCATGTTGGGTGTGGAATTAAAAACAACACTGGAAAAGCATTAAACTAAGAAATTCTGTTACTAACCTGAAATATGAACTTGACAAACTTTCTTTGCCTTTATTCCTTTGTAAAAGGAAGACAAAGTATCTGTTTTGACTTCCTTACAAAATTATTTCTCTCAAAGTATCTGCCATGCGTAACAGTTACTTCCAGGAGGCAGGGAGAGAATCACAAGCAGTGAGGGGCACACGGGGAGATTTTGGGGGCTGACACCTTTCAAGTTTTGACCTAGCTGATTTCATGGGTGTTCACTTTATAATTATTTTTTAAATCTTAATTTGTCTTGTGTACTCTTCTGTATATGTGAATGTTAGAAATTACCATAGAGTCATATCATATATACATATATATACATATATATATATACATACATATATATATATATATATTTGCCCTAAATGAATAACTTTAAAGATCAAGCACAGAACAAATTGCTAAATTCACACCAGCTATTCCTTCTAATATTGCAGGGGGAAAAAACTGGCTTTGTTGGACTTAATGAAAAATACTACAGTATACCAAAAGCAATGTGCAATGGTATATTTTTAAGGACGATTTGCATATACTACAGTTTTGCCGTAGGTGCTGATTTTTTTTTTTTTTTAAGGTGTATAGTACTGAGGGCTTTGCAATGTTAGGGTAATAAACCTGACTGAGGACATTTTAACGATCCTCAGGTTTCTCAGGACATACATGCGATGGGCTGTGTCATTTCCCCACACAGAGCTGGGAGCAGGTGTCTCTCAGAGAGAATGAGGCTGTTTACAGCAAGGTGGACATACCACTTGTGCAAATCTGCATTGTACAAAGACCATGTGCTGGATTCTTCGAGCCACGAGGCACACCTCTAACTTTATTTCCAGCTGACTGAGCCCCAGGCTGTCCACAGTTGTTTGATGAGTTATGAAAACACCCGAACCAGGGCCCTGTGGTGTCTTCACTAAGTAAAAGGGACAGGTCTCCCCCTTATCCTTGGGGGTCACCTGAACATGTGAAAAACTCTCTGCTTCTGATCAGGGACCTAAGAGTAGAGAGTTTAAGATGGTGAAGGAATAAATGGGGGGTTGTTTTAATTCTGCACAATCTATGCAAATCACAATAGGCCTCCAGTCCCCCTAGGGCCTTTATCAGATCCAGAAGGTGGTGCTGCTCCCGTGAGGAACAGCAGCTCTGTCTCTACCAAGGGTACAGAGGACAAGGGAAACGCTGCGGTCATTTTCAGTTGTGACTCTTCCGGGAAACCTTCATCTTTTTGGACAGCACCCTCTCCTGGCCTTACCTCTGTTTTGTGTGTTGTGTGGTGTGTCTGCTGCGTTACTTATTTTCAAAGTCCAAACTCTTAGCTCAGGAGCCTCCAGGCTTCTCTGTTTTCAGCTTGTTGTCTTGGTTGTGCCTCCAGAAGCCAAAAGCACTTAAAGGCTGAGGACTTCAGGGCTTTTACCGCGCATTTCTGGGAATAACAATGAGGATGGCACCACACTCCATACTGAAGTCTCACGGCCTGGCTGACTCCCAAGAACTCCTCTATGTGGGATCGTTGTTGTTTCCTCCTTTCCTGTCTCCAGTGAGACAATTAACCTGTTCAGAATGTCTGCGGTAATCCTCACAACTGGAAAATGTGAAACCTCATCCCTCCAACTTTACATTGTGTGCTTTGTGCCATTTTGAATGGACTTAGGTAAATCATCACTAACTCATCACTGCTCCTTCTCTGGTGGCAGATGCGCTACACGGAATCCCTCCAGTTGCACCCTGGGTAAAAATATGCTTAATTAGGGGCGCCTGGGTGGCACAGTCGGTTGAGCGTCCGACTTCAGCCAGGTCACGATCTCGCGGTCCGTGGGTTCGAGCCCCGCGTCGGGCTCTGGGCTGATGGCTCAGAGCCTGGAGCCTGTTTCCGATTCTGTGTCTCCCTCTCTCTCTGCCCCTCCCCCGTTCATGCTCTGTCTCTCTCTGTCCCAAAAATAAATAAACGTTGAAAAAAAAATTAAAAAAAAAAAAAATATGCTTAATTATCAGAAGTCACGTATTTGTGCTAGAAAATGTCCACTGGAAATGGAAGTTATGAAGAAAGAAAATCAGTTAAAACTGCCAGGGCCAGTTCCCCACAAAGTCCTTCAGTTGCGTTCACATGACCACGTTCTGTTGTGTCCTGAGTCACTGTTAGAATGGATACCACCCCTCGTGATACATCATGGGAGTTTTATACTAGAAGCTGAAACACATCTGTGTTGATCCTATCATTTAGAATTTTTGTCTTTTTCCATAGAATATAATCATTGTGTCTCACAGTGTACTTAAAAATCAGAATTAACAAATTAACATAAACATAGCTGAGCTTAGTTGACATTTATAAGTAACACGCTCCTCTCAGAAAACACGTTCTCAGTTTCCCTGCAAGACTCCAGACATCCCTATCCAACCAGAGGTCTGAGGCCATTGACAGAACTTCCAGAGAAGACTTCTTTGTCTGGGAGGGACACAGAGGGAGGTCAGGGCTGACAGGCAGAACTTTTCCATGGGAGTGGCTATGATTCCACGTGCAGAGTATGGGCTTTTTATTCCCATTCGTTCTCTTCTCAATATACAAATAACAACCTTCTGTGGCCACGGAGAGGGAGGGATGCAAATGCCTGTCTGAAATGCTACTTTATTAGTCTGTAATTACTTGTGTTCATCCTCTAGGATGCGACCCCTTGCTGTTCTACATTCGCAAACATGGGCAGTGACGGGTGGTGACAGTCGTTTAACCTCCTGGCATCTATTCCCCCAAGCTGTAGGTGACACCCAGTGGGAAGGGTAGCGTTTTCTGGCACTGATGCTGCTCTCTTGCAACCTGGTGGTTGGAAAGGTGGCAGGTGCTGACACCTGCTTTTTTGGGTTTCAGCTGCTGTTGGTATTGGTTCTTCTGTCACATCAACATAGCTTTCACTTCTGTTCTGCAGGTCAATATGGATGCAACAGAACTTCCTCCCTTACCAGGACCATCCTGCACGTCCTACTCCATGCCCCCCCACCCCATCACCATTCATGCGCTACAAGCCACCTCTACCTCCCACATCTTGGTGGCCCCGGGGAGTGCACCTACCACCTCCACCTGCAGAGGATGTGAACAGTAGGAGTTGACATGCAAAGCACATTCACCTTATTTCTGTTGTGGTTGAACTCAGGTGCAGATTTTAGATCAAACCCCACACAAGATGCAAAGCTCTTATAATAAAATCATAATCTCGAACAAGAATGGTACTAGCAATTAAAAATATTTAATTATTATAAAATGTAAAATGACTTCAAATATCTTTAATATCAGAAAACATATGGAAATATTTAAATATATACCGCTAAATTAAGTCACTGAAAAAGTTATACCAGAATTCTAAATAGCTGAATTTTCTCCAGTTTTATTATGTCAATAATCCTAAGAAGCGTTTTTTAAAGATTCTAAAAGTGGTCCTAAGAACTTTCAACATTTCTTTTCAGAGTTTATTAATTCAACAGTTTGTTTCCAACTCTTATTAATACAACACTGATACTTAAAATGGAAAAAACCGAAAGAAAAGTGCTTTTCACTTACAGTTGACCCAAGATGAGATGGATTATCAACAGGTTTTATCACATTTTGCCTTTGTGCAGAATCGAGAAAAACATCATCCCAGTGTCCTTTCTCAATTAAGTCCTTGAAAATAAATTTGTAAGCATGACTATCAAAATATCCTCAAGTTATTTATGTTAACAGATAATGTGTTTCTGTTTCAGAAAATAAGACCGTATTTTGGTGAAAAGAACACATTACCTTTTTAATTTTGGAAAGTTCAGTTACTGCTTGCTTATTCCCAGGTTCCAGAAGTAAAACAGTTTCAAAATCTAAAGTGAATTTTTAAGAACTACAATAAATTAGTGAAAATACTTTATGGAGTTCAAGACATGATACATTTAGTTAATAACCCATGTTTATCTCAAGAAGTTTTACTCAGGATGCTAGAAACAGGGGAGCAACAGTAAGAGCTAAGCATTTACTAAGTGCTATTCTAGTTACTTTATGTGAATTCTCATGTAACCCTCATCACAACGCCACTTTACAGATGATACAAATAAGACCTACAGGTTATCTAACTCACCAAAGCTCACACACACTATTAAAGAATGACAGGGTCACTCAGCAAATGTAAGATAGAATCTAAGAGACCATATAATGGAATATTGTTCAGCCTTAAACCTTGAAGACATTATGCTAAGTGAAATAAGCCAGACACACTCCCTCTCTCTCTGACCCTCCCCCGTTCATGCTCTGTCTCTCTCTGTCTCAAAAATAAATAAACGTTGGGGCGCCTGGGTGGCGCAGTCGGTTAAGCGTCCGACTTCAGCCAGGTCACGATCTCACGGTCCGTGAGTTCGAGCCCCGCGTCGGGCTCTGGGCTGATGGCTCAGGGCCTGGAGCCTGTTTCCGATTCTGTGTCTCCCTCTCTCTCTGCCCCTCCCCCGTTCATGCTCTGTCTCTCTCTGTCCCAAAAATAAATAAACGTTGAAAAAAAAATAAATAAACGTTAAAAAAATAAAAGAAATAAGCCAGACACAAAATGACAAATATTGCATGATTCGACTTATATAACGTATGTAGAATGGTCAAATTCATAGGTAGAAAGTAGAATGGTGGTTACCAAGGGCTGGAAGGCGGGGGGGGCCAAGAAGTTCTTATTTAATGGAGAGATTTTCAGGATTAGATGATACAAAAGTTCTCAAGATGTCTGGTAGTGATGCTCTGCACAACAGTGTGAACGTACTTAATGCTACTGAACTGTATACTTAAAAAGGGTTAAGATGGTAAATTTTGTTCACGTTATGTATATTTTACTACCATTTTTTAAATGCATGAGCTACAGCTAAAGCCAGGCTTAGAGAGAAACTGTCATATTTAAATGCACATATGAGAAAAGGTGGCTGAAAATCTAAGTACTGATGTCAAAATATTAGAAAACACGCAAATTAAACCTAAACAAAGCTGAAGAAAGAGCAGAAATAAAATGAAACAGAAAACACACACAATAAAACCAAGTTGGTTCTTTAAAGAAACTAACAGAATGAATACTTAAAATCTGACAGATCCTGGAAAAATAAAATAATTAGTACCAAGAATAAAAAAGTACCAATTACTAATAAAAAATAATTAGTACCAAGAATAAATTTTAGGGAAAAAAGCTAAAATCACTCCAGATTCCACATTATCCTCTAACCCTGAACAGCTGATCCCCTTCCCTTTTCTTTCTGCCTTTTCCTTTTCACTGATAATTCAAATTATTCATTAATTTCCACTGGCAGTTAGCCAGATCAGACTATATGCTATTAAAGTAAAAGATAATCAGGTCCACTACGGAAGCCATATTCCTCCAAATATGCAAACTATGAATGATCTAAACTGTGAAAGAAAATTTACTTCTCTAAGTTCTGTATTCTTGAACCCTGGAAAAGCTACATGAATCTCTGCTTCTGTAACTTGGCAGTCTCATCAGGACAAGTGAGTGACAGTTGTCATAAAACAGTCGTACCTTGTTTGGCATCATTTAACTTTCCCAAAAATGTTCTTGCCGTTCCTCTCCTGGCAAAAGCTTTCGAGTATGAGCCATCTAATAAAATAGCTTGTGTGCAGTCTTTTTCAGCTTCTTCATATCTATTAAACACGACAAAATTACCAACTGGAAAATGCAGCTTATAGAAAAACTTCACATAAACTTGAGTTTCTAATGTAAAAAGCAGGCATATTATTTCAACTAAAAACTCCCAAATCTGTCTTTGAAGGAAGACCATTTCTTTTTTATTCTTCATTCTCACCAAAACTTGGGATCATCTGGTAAGGAGGGAAAAGGTACCGGATTAAAAGAAAGCCAGAAAAAAGTGTGCTGGAAGGATGCAATAGAATGATGGTAAAGCACAAGCAGAGCAGACGAAAGAATCCCACTGCTGGCAGCCTACCTCCCCTCTAACTTTACGTGCAGTACACATAAGTACTACACTAACAATCAGAACTGGCACTGATTTTCAAATACAACTTCATGAATATTTGCCCACAATAGACACCACCTAAGGAAAACAAGACCGTGGGACTTAGGACTCCTTATATCATCTAACGCTTTTCATAAATTCTACTCAACCATGCAACCAGCCATCAATTCAGTCAGACTGGATAGTGCTCTATAAAAACAAAAAGCTAAGGAGACCTTAAAAAAAAACCAAAAACTTGAGACCCTCCTATATTTCAAAATGACATTAATGAATTACTGTAAATTTATTTGGCATGATAATGATATTGTGGTTATGTGCAAAAAATCCTTTAGGGATTAGATGTCATAATACCTATGATTTGCTTTACAATAATTCAGAGGGAAAAAAGCTAAATGTAACAAAAAAAAGTACGGCTTGTTAAAACTAGATGATTTGGTACATGAAGTTTATTATATTACTTTCATGAAAGCTGCAAAAATTTCATAATAAAAATATTCTAAAACAGGAGAATCTCCTGTGATTACATTCTCCCCAAGGCCTACATGACTGCTATCCTACCCTTGAAACAAGACCTCCTAAGAACAAAACAAAATTTCTAATGAACTTAAACATCCCTTAATCCTTTCATTCACTTTTCAATGAAAGAAAGAGTATGTCTGTATATGTGCAAATGTGTGTGCCCTATGCCTCTACCAATATATTTTCTACTTTGCTGATTAGGTCATTCTCCCATTCAAGACATGAGCATGGCCCCCTCACTTTTCAGGGTACAGTACTTTAAAGAGCACAAAGCCAAGGGCTTGTCTGGCTCTCCAGCCTTATCTCTATCACTGGACCTTGCATAACAGTCATAATATGAACCACTTGCCCTTTCAGAAGTTACATGAACTTTTCCACTCTTGTGCCTTTATACCTAAACTGGGACACTCAACCTATTTTTCACCTCTCAATCTATTATTCACTCTCACTAAAATAATATATCTCTAATTGTGTCTATTTTTTTAATTTTTAATATCTATTCATTCTTGAGAGAGAGAGAGAGAGAGAGAGAGAGAGAGAGCGAGCAGGCAAGGGGCAGAGAGAGAGGGAGACACAGAATCCGAAGCAGGCTCCAGGCTCCGAGCTGTCAGCACAGAGCCCAACACAGGACTCGAACCCACAAACCACGAGATCATGACCTGAACCAAAGTCAGATGCTTAATCGATTGAGCCACCTAGGCACCCCATGTTTGTCTGTTAGTTTAAATGAGGATATATATAAACAAAATTTACTTATATGACAGGAGTTCCTAACCTGAGGTCCTTTGACAGATGTGAAAAGCTGAATGGATAAATTATTACATGCTTATTTTCAGTTACTTACTTTAAATGGGATTTAGCTTCTCTTTCCATTATAACTGCAGACAATAAACCATGGTAGCAAAAAAAATATCATTGATATTTTCATATCACATTACAACTGTTACAAACATCTCAAAATACTATTTATGCTCACCACTATTTCAGAATTACAGTAGTAATTTAACCTGCTGTTTGTTTGTATGTGATCACAGAATCCCTGTTTATAAATGCTCCTATGACCTAACTGGCCAACTATCGGGCAACTCTGTCCCTAGCAGTCATTCAGATGCCAAAGAGCAAGGTCATGTGTTATCACACTGGGAACACAATCATCTGTGCACCTTTTTGGATATTTCCTATCCACACTTATCAGTTCATCAGTATGTGGAAGAAGATGTCACAGATCACCCCAAACCTAAAGTTTCACATTATGTCTTTAAAAAAAATTTTTAGCTTTAAATTTACCTGTATTTTTTTTAAAGCAGGCTCCATGCCCAGCAGAGAACCTGAACTCAGACCTGAGATCAAGACCTGAGCTGAGATCAAGAAGTCAGACGCTTCACCAACTGAGCCACCCCAGCACCCCGAATTCGCCTATGTTTTAAATGTAGTTTCTCATTTTGTTGTGGTATGTATATCACTGTATCACAAATTTTTAAAAACTGTTTCAATAAAATTGATTTCCTTTGTACTCTCAAATGTATAATTATACATGGAAAAATACTATTCTGAAGAAGGTTCCCCGTGCAGCCAAAGGGGTCCATGGCACCAAGGTAATTTACGAATCCCTATTTTAAGTATTTACATGTTTTTTTCTTAAATTCTGTCACTAGTGTATAAAATATTATTACAACAGATATAAAGAACCATGAGACACAGTTTCTGCCATCAGATATTATCCTGATTGTCCAACTTGGAACCCCTGAGTACATCCCAAACAGTTGTTTAGTACCATAGGACCAAGTTTTAGCTGTATATATATAATCAATCAGCTTATCTCAATGGCAACAATTCTCTTTTGTGATGTATGGATATGCATATATAAAACACTTCCAGATAAAAATGTGCCCAAAAGGTTCTGAGGTTAAAATAATTTTTAGGGACACCTGGGTGGCTCAAGTCAGTTAAGCGTCCGACTTCGGCTCAGGTCACGATCTCACAGCTTATGAGTTTGAGCCCTACATCGGGCTCTGTTACTGACAGCTCAGAACCTGAAGCCTGTGTCTCCCTCTCTCCCTGCCCTCCCCACTCAAGCTGTCTCTCTCTCAATAAACATTAAAAAGATTTTTTTTAATAATTTTTAAATCATTAATTCAGAATAACATGCATGAAACAATTAATGTTAAATTGTGTAATGGCAGACTATTAAAAGTGGGAAAATAGGGGCGCCTGGGTGGCTCAGTCGGTTTAGCATCCGACTTTGGCTCAGGTCATGATCTCACAGCTCATGAATTCGAGCCCCGCGTCGGGCTCTGTGCTGACAGCTCAGAGCCTGAAGCCTGCTTGGGATTCTGTGTCTCCCTCTCTCTCTGCCCCTAACCCACTCGCATGCTGTCTCTGTTTCTCTCAAAAATAAGCAAACATTAAAAAAAACAAAAATAGTGGGAAAATAATAACAAGAGCTAATATTTACTGAATACATACTGATATTCAGTCTCTCTCTCTATTTAATGCTCAGCTGCTTCTGATTCTGTGTCTCCCTCCCTCTCTGCTCCTCCCCCACTCATGCTCTATCCCTCTCTCTCTCTCTCTCTCTCTGTGAAAAATAAACATTAAAAAAAATTTTTTTTAATAAAAAACAAAAAATAAATTTAATGCTCAGGAGTAAATAAATTATATTTTATTTAATTGTCTAATAAGCCAATTTATGGTAAATTTCATTTTCACCCTGAAAAGCATTAAGTACATCCAACACTTACTTCTGAATCTTCAGATAGGCCATTGCTCTGTTAGCCGGAAGAAGGGCATTAGTGCCATCTGCTGCTATCCCCCGAGTGTAGCATTCAATTGCCCTTTCGTATTTCCCCTCTTTGAAATATCCATTCCCCTATCATTTTGGAGAGAAATATAAGAACGAAAAAAAATGCCAAAAAGTTAGTTGAATTCAAATCTTAAGTAAACACTATGAGAATACTCAACAATATTATACCAGTAATTAAAGTATATTTTAATGTTAAAAATCTAGTCCATGATATATGCTTTAGAATGTTAGTTTAGGTGGTTTTTTGTAATGGCATTCTTCTCTTTTCAGAACTAAAAAGAAACATACACTACTATACTACTTTACAGCATTAACCATTATTCTACTAATTAAATGTTAAAGCTTAAATTTAAAAACACATTGTAATATAGGCTCAAATATTATACTCTAGTTATACCAAAGGTTGCACAATAGAATTTCATAACCCAAGTAATTTTTGTGAAAGGACAGAGTACCAAAATTGTACAGTTCATTCTTTGGTAACATTAACATGTCTAAACACGGGATAAATTAAACCATATTAGAATGTGCATACCAGATTACCCTGTAACATTCATTTATAGGCTTATCACAATCAATAATCATTCCATAAGTATTTATTAAAAATCTTCTGTGGGTCCATGAAAAACTACAGATATATTAAATTAAATCTCAACTCACGATTTCTAAACGAATTTATCAGAAAGTCTAGTGTGAATTAGTGGAAAAAAAATTATATGTAAGAATGAACTGTAACTTATTTCTACGCTAAATTTACATCTATATGTAAATATGTTAAAATAATCAGAGTAATTTGCTCCCTAAACTATGTTTTTTTTTTTTTAATTATGTACCAAGTCATCAATTACTCAAGTTTTGAATTATAAGCTCCAGAGGTTTTTAGTAATTTGTAATTTTGTAATTTGCAAATTTTGTAATTTGCAACTCCTACTGAAGAATTTAAATATTAGAGAAGACAGAAACAGATGAACAAGAAACAAAGAGCAAATTCAACAAAACATATGTATGTTGAAATCCCTCTGGATTACCAGATCTTTCTGTGAAATGGCCTGCTGCTTATTCTGTTGCTGTTCAATTTGCTTTTTCTCTTCTTCAGTTGTCTTAATCATCGTATCAGCTCCCTTTGGGCATGAATTTTCTTTGGATGCTAAAGCCTAGGAGACACAGTAGTCCACTAAAATAAAACAAGTAATACAAGATGCATACATATTTCACTGTGAAATACTAAATTACTCAAATATATTAGAATTTCTACATTTCAAATTAATACTGAAATAATATCTTTTACTAATTCAAAATCTAATTCAAATTACAAAACAAAACAAAAACATAAAAAATTTAATACACATCTTATTCCAATTAAAATCACTAATGGTAGTTGTTCATTTATTTATCCAACAAATATTTACTGAAATTCTACACAGGCCAGGCACCATCCTAGAAACTATTTTCAAAAATAAACGGATAATCAAGACATCACCAAATTTCTCAAACTTCATATTCATAGTCATTACTTGACCTCAGACAAAATACAAAAATATATAACACAGTTCACAATTATAAGACAGTTGATATACTTATCAACAGATTTTATGTGCTATAAGTAATGGCAATATTTAAAAGCAGATCTTCCCCAATCATTGTCACTTTTTTCTCAAAGTTTCAATGCATGGCACAATAATTATAACTCTGATTCAACAGCAAAGTGAAAGGAATATGTAACTGTACAGTATAATTTGACAAAAAACTTTTTAAGTATTTTCTTACTGTTAAAAAATTAGTATTGTTTTTGCTAAGATATAAACTATAAAGACAGAACAACTTAAAACTAACAAAATCAAAGAAATATGCAAAAACTTAGTACAGAAATAAAAGCACAAGCCAAAAAGAAAAATTATGGGGATAAAGAAAAATAATTGTCATCTGGGAAAAAATAAAGCAGCAGGAGTTGAAAAACCTCCAGTGATTTTTTTTGAAGATTTTAAGTAATCTCTACACCAACAGTGAGGCTCAAACTCACAACCCCAAAATCAAGAGTCTTATACTCTATACCAAGTGGGCCAGTCAGGTGTCTCTCAGATGACTTTTTTAAATGATGATTCCTAGGGATCCTGAAATACTATTCTACTTCCTCTAGCTTGCAAATTTGTTTAGTAAAACTGTACAGTACAAAGAATTAAAATTAGAAAAAGTCTATATTAAGTAATCTATGGTACAAAGACTATGCAAAAACCTTTACTTCATCAAATAAACGTTAAGTAATGCACTTAAATAACTATGTTTTACCTGATTAATTTTCCTGAGTTCATTCGTTGCTTCAAAGTTATTTGGTTCTAGTTCTAATACTTTTTCATAATCTAAGTAAATTTGAAGATAAAGAATATGTGAAAGACAAGATATTAAAAAATTCCATTGAACAATCATTTGCTACATGTGACAAACAGGCATGCATCCTACAGCAAAATTACGAGGAACCAAGAAATACTAACCAACGGGAGGTTACTGGACTATCTCCATTCTCCACCAAGACAAACAAAATCCTAACAGAATCCCTTGACAAATCACCCTCTTCCACCAGCCCCAGGAAGGACGCTTACTATCATTAAGTTGTACATCTTAAAACCAGAAACAGCAGAATCCTATTAGATTATCAACTTTATTCAGATTTTATGATTTATAGTACACAAACTTATTTTATGGAGTAACAAAAGGCTTAGACTTTACAAATGAAGAAAAACATGTCAAGGACTCTATGTGCCGTGCCTCTCTGCCTCACGATATCCAACAAGATGCTTTAATCCCTATTTTATGGCTGAAAAACTGAAAATCATAGGGGACCCACAACCTTCCCCTTGGTCACATAGCTAATACACAGTGGAGTAAGAATTTGAACCAAAGTCTGATTGGTGGCAAATAACGCATTCCTTCCCAAAGTAGCAAAAATGAGATTTCTTCAAATACAGAAAGCTCTCTGAGGGTAGTAACTGTGATTACCTAGTATTCTTTGTATAGCATCTGTTAAACTATTAAAGAGTGTTTTAGATAATAATAAGATGAAAATATTAATACCTTTTTTGGCATCCTCTAACTTTTGCAAAGCAAATCGAGCAGCACCTCGCCTTGTATAAGCCTTGGTGTAACTTCTATTCAAGGCAATTGCTAAATTACAATCAGACTCAGCAACAGCAAATCTGCAATTTAAAAAAGTTGAAGTTAATAATATTCATTTGTCAAACCAAAACTTCAAAATTTGTTTCTGAAATCCCATCTTCTATTATTTACTTAAGGCTACTGAAAAGCATTAATTCATGATGGTGAGATGTAAGTAACATTCCCTCTAAAGGAAAAAGAATGCCCACTACCACTGCTTTCTGTCAGTATTATATTAGAGGTCCTGGCTAATGCAGTTTCACAAGAAAGAAATATACAGCTAAAAGACTGGAAAGGAACAAAACTCAGATGATGTGATGGTCTACCTAAAAAACTCAAAACAATCTGGAGACACTGTTAGTAATAATGAAAGTTTGCAAGGTGACTGCTTTACTAAAGATAAGCAACAACAACAACAACAACAAAAAAAACAGAAATAAATCTAACAAAAGATATGTAAGACCCATATGCAGAACATTTGAAGACTGTCTTCAAAAACATTAAAGACTTAAGTGAAGATGTATCATATTCATGATTTATACTAAGTCACAAAACCATAGCAATATAATTCTCTCCAAACTGATCTATAAATCCAAAGCAATTAGAATCAAAATACCTACAGAATTTTTCAAGGAGTTTAACAAGATGATTCCGGTATTTACACTGATAAGCGAAAGTCCAAGAATACCCAAGACATTCCCAAAAAATAATAAGGTAAGAATACATGTCCTATGCCAAATATGGAGACTTATTATAATGCTATAGCAATTAAAGGTAGTATGGAATGAGTTATACGGATAGGCAACAGATCAACTGGAGAACAGAATGATGAAAAAGAGATCCATGTGGGACACCTAGGTGGCTCAGTGGGTTGAGCTCAGTGGATTTCGGTTCATGGTCTCATGGTTTATGAGACTGAACTCCACATCAGGCTCTGTGCTGACAGTGCGGAGTCTGCTTAGCATTCTCTCTCTCCCTGCCCCTCCCTTGCCCTCTCTTGCTATCAAAATAAGTAAATAAACATAAAAAAAAAAAAAAAAAAAAAAAAAAAAAAAAAAAAAAAAGAAAGAAAAAGAGATCCATGCAAACTAAGCATACCACAAGGTGGCATTGCAGATCCATGGGGAAAGTGTGGATGTTCAATAAATAAGACTGACATGACTGAAATAGTCATATGAAAAGATATGAAATTAGACTTCTACCTTCAGCATACATAAATACTTAAACATGAAAATTAAAACTTAAAAACTTTTAGAAGAAAATATAGAAGACTATTATGAGCTCAGCATGGGAAACTATTGTTGTAACAAATTATATTTTTTAAAGTGCTAACCACTAAAAAAAAATCAATAAATTGAAATATATTAAAATTAAGAATTTCTGCTCATTGAGACTTCACAGAGAAAGAAAAAAACCAAAGCTGCAGATTGGGGGAAAATAAGTATCATAAACACTGAAGGATTAGTATCCCGAAAGAATTCTTAAAAATCAATAGAAAAACAGACTTACAGAAAAATGCCCAAAAGACAAAACAGGCATTTCACAGGGAAACAAAGGAATACAGGTGGCAAATAAATATATAAGATGTTCAACCTCATTAGCAGTTGTGGAAATGCAAATTAAGACCAAGGTGAATTACCATTTTGCACCCACTTGACTGAAAACAATGAAGAAACCCGATTCTACCAGTGTTGGTAAAGACACGGAGCAAGCATCCACACACACTCCTAATGAGAACATAAACTTATACATAACTACCTTTGCATTACTTGTACAACTGGTCATCACCATATAAGTAGAACATATATATACATCCTGTGACCCAACCCCAAGAAACCTACAAAACTGTCAACATTATCACTGCTTTAAGGAAGGGAGAAAAGGGTGGTAGGGAGGGAGAGAAGGGGGGAAAGAGGGAGAAGAAAAGGAAAGAGTGAAAGAAAGGAGGCAACCAACAATCTAGCACCAGGAAAATGGATACAGGGAGGAAGCCCTGGTGGTGAAGAAAGATAAGAGAGAGGAGAGCACACTGGGAAACGCATGGGGAGAACACTTCCCCAAAGCCACTGGTTTGGAAAACAAGGGACTAATTTTCTAGTTTCTGCAACCAGCAGGGCTCAAAGCCAGGAGTTTTAGAGGTCATAGGGCAGGGCTGGGATAGAGCCCTGAAGGGCACTGCCCTACTCCTGGAGGGCAGGCAGGCAAACAACCCTGGGGCAGACAGTACAGTGATCTGAGGATCCCCTAAAATTGTTCCCTCTTCTTGGAGCACATCTATGAGAGGTGGCTTTCAAAAAGAGGCCTCTCCGGGGATGAAAGAACCATTTCCATCCCCCCACACCTCTCAGCGTAGGCACAGAGACACTGACTGAGGGCAGCTAACCCAGACACTGGCTATTTAACCTGCTTTGCTCCAAATCCCATGACCCTGAGCTACAGCGATTGCCCTTCTTGGTCAAAACTGCATCCATCCCAGCACAGTGAGACCCTCCTCCAGAAGACCAGCGAGGGTCCCCACCAGACCAGGTCCCTAAAGTCTGGAGTTTTAAAAGTCAGCAGCCTTGGCTACAACAGAGCCCAAAGTGCACTGCACTGTTCCAGGCAGGCAACATGGAAAGAGCATGAAACCAGCAATCTGAAAACCACCTGGGATGCACAAGGGAAAATTATTTGCTCTTCTGGAATGCTTCCCTGAGAGCACAGAGACCCCTCTCCGAGGACAAAGGAGCTGGCTGACACCAGTTCCCTCCCCTACCACCCAGCATAAACCAACTTCAGTAAACAACACGGTGCCAACACTGGCTGCCCTACCTGCTCACACCAAGTCACACCCACCTGTGCTCCACTGGCACTGCTTTTCTCAGGCAAGAGTGCCTAAGTCGCAGAGCAGCGGGCCCCTTCCTCAGAAAGCCAGCAGAAACCTCTGCATGCACCACATCTACTGGCCATAGAGTTCTGCAAAGCTTTGGTTCTAGTGGAAGTAGACTTAGGTCTCATTTAATAAGTGGACCAAAGCACACCTAGTTAAAACTCCCCACACTCTGGCTAATGCAAACACTGCCCACTGCAGGCAAGGAGAGTCTCTGCAGATGACTGACCTGAAAGACAGAGCAGCCAAAACCCAGCAGCAGAGTGCATGCAGCACACACCAGAGACACTTCCCGAAGCTCCAGGCCTCGGACACTTATATGACCTCTTCTTCACAAAGCCATGACTCTCAGGAGCAGGAAACATAACAGGCTTTTCTAACACAGAGAAGAAGACAGAGACTCAGACAAAATGCCAACATGGAGGAATTCATCCCAAAAGAAAGAACAAGAAAAGATCCTGAACAGAGATCTAATGGAAAAAAAGCATAAGTAATATGCCTGATGGACAATTTAAAGCAACACTTAAAAGGATACTTGGTGGTCTTGAGAAAAGCATGAAAGACATCAGGGACAGCCGTACCACAGAGAAAAAAGAGCTAAAAAACAGTCAGAAATGAGAAATGCAAGAACTGAGATTTGAAACAGACTGAATGTAATGACCACAACGATGGAAGAAGCAGAGGAACAAATAAGTGATACAGAAGATAGAATAATGGAAAATAATAAAGCTGAACAAAAGAGAAGAATTATGAATCACGAGAATACTAGGGAACTCAGTGATTCCATCAAATGTAGTAATATTTGTATCATAGGAGTCCCAGAAAGAAAGACAGAAAAGGGTGCAGAAGGTTTATTTGAGGAAATAATAATTGAAAACTTCCCTAATCTGGGAAAGGAAATAAACATCCAAATCCAGGAGGCACAGAGAACTCCAATCAAAATCAACAGAAGCAGGCCAACACCAGACATATTGTAATTAAACTTGCAAAATACTGTGATAAAAAAAAAAAATCCTAAAAGCAGCAAGACAAAAGAAGTCCCTAACTTACAAAGGAAGACCCATAAGGCCAAGCTGCAGATCTCTCCACAAAAACTTGGCAAGCCAGAAGGGAGTAGCATGATACATTCAACACACTAAATGGGAAAAATATGCAGCCAAGAATACTCTATCCAGCAAGGCTGTCATTCAGAATAGGAGAGATAAAGAGTTTCCCAGACAAACAAAAACTAAAGGAGTTCGTGACCACTAAACCAGCCCCGCAAGAAATATTAAGGGGGACTCTTTGAGTGGGAAAAGACCAAAAGCAACAAAGACTAGAAACGGATAGAGAAAATCTCCAGAAACAACAATAAAATAACACTAAATTCATATCTATCAAGAATTACTCTAAATGTAAGTGGACCAAATGCTCCAATCAAAAGACGGGGTCAGAATGGATAAAAAAAATAAGACCCATGTATATGCTATCTATAAGAGACTCAGCTGCAGACTGAAAATGAGGGGATGGAAAACCATCTATCATGCAAGTGGAAGTCAAAAGAAAGCCAGAGTAGCAATATCAGACAAACTAGATTTTGCTTATTTTTTTTAAGTTTATTTATTCAAAAGAGAAAGTGCACGCATGTGTGCAACCGGGCAAGGGACAGAGACAGAGAGGATTCCCAGGATCCCAAGCAGGCTTTGTGTAGCCAGAACTCACAAACCATGAGATCATAACCTGAGCCCAAATCAAGAATTGGGACACTTAACTGACTGAGCCACACAGGCGCCCCCAGGCAAACTAGATTTTAAACCAAAGACAAGAGAGGAAGAAGGGCACCATATCATAATTAGGGGACTATCCAACAAGATGATCTTAACAATTATAAATATTTATGCCCCCATATGAGAGCACCAGATATGTAAAACAATTAATATCAAAACTAAAGAAACTCACTGATAATAATACAATAACAGTAGGGGACTTTAACAACCCACTTACAGCAATGGAAAGATTATCTAAGCAGAAAACCAGTAAGGAAACAATAGCTTTGAATGACACACTGGACCAGACAGACTTAACAAGTATATTCAAAATATTTCATTGCAAAGCAGAATACACATCGTTTTCAAATGCACATGAGACATTCTCCAGAAGAGATCACATACCAGGTCACAAATAAGGCCTCAACAAGCACAAAAAGAGAGACATCATACCATGCATATTCTCTGACCACAATGCTATGAAACTTGAAGTCGACCACAAGAAAAAGTTTGGAAAGACCACAAATACATGGAGTTAAACAACATGCTACTAAAGAATGAATGGGTCAACCAGGAAATCAGAGAAGAAATAAAAGAATACATGGAAACAAATGAAAATGAAAACACAACGGTCCAAAACCTTTGGGATGGAGCAAAAGCAGTCATAAGAGGGAAGTATATAGCAATACAGGCCTATCTCAAGAAACAAGAAAAAACTCAAATAAACAACCAACCTTACACCTAAAGGAACAAGAAAAAGAACAAATGAAGCCCAAAGCCAGCAGAAAAAGGGAAATAATAAAGATTACAGCAGAAATAAAGGATACAGAAACTAAAAAACCACCAGAACAGGTCAATGAAACCAGAAGCTGATTCTGTGAAAAAATTAGTAAAATTGATAAACTCCTAGCCAGACTTATCAAACAGAAAAGAGAAAGAACCAAAATAAATGAAATCACAAATGAGAGAGGAGAAATAACTAACACCACAGAAATGCAAACAATTATAAGGAAAAAACTATGAAAAATTATATGCCAACAAACTGAAAGACTGGAAGAAATCGAAAAATGTCTGGAAACATATAAACTACCAAAACTGCAACAGGAAGAAATAGAAAACTTGAACACACCAATAACCAGCAAAAAATCAGTAATCAAAAATCTCCCATAAACAAAAGTTCAGGGCCAGATCAACTTCCCAGGGGAATTCTACCAAACACTGAAAGAAGAATTAATACCTATTATTCTCAAACTATTGCAAAAAAATAAAAATGGAATGAAAACTTCCAAATTCATTTTATGAGGCCAGCATTCCCAATTCCAAAACCAGACAAAGACTCTGCTAAAAAAGAGAACTAAGCTCCAATATCCCTCATGAACATGGATGCAAAAATTCTCAACAGAATACTAGCAAATCAAATCCAACAATACATTAAAAAAATCATTCACCACGATCGAGTGGGATTTACTCCTGGGCTGCAAAGGTGGTTGCAAATCAATTAACGTGATACACCACATTAATATAAGAAAGCATAAGAACCATATGATCCTTTCAATAAATGCAGAAAAAGCATTTGACAAAGTACAACATCCATCCATGATAAAAAAAAATCCTCAAAAAAGCAGGGATAGAGGGAACATATCTCTACATCACAAAGGACATATACAAAAAAACCCACAGCTAATACCATCCTCAATGGGGAAAACTGAGAGCTTGTCCTCTTCCAGTCAGGAACAAGTCAGGGATGTCCACTCTTACCACTGTCATTTAACACAGCACTGGAAGCCCTAGCCTCAGCAATCGGACAACAAAAAGAAATAAAAGTCATCCAAATTGGCAGAGATCAAACTTTCATTATTTGTAGATAATATGACACTCCATACAGAAAACCCAAAAGATTCCACCAAAAAATTGCTAGAACTGATATACAATTCAGTAAAGTCGCAGGATACACAATCAACGTAGAGAAATCTGTTGCATGTCTATACACCAATAATGAAGCAGCAGAAAAGAGAAATCAAGGAATCCTTTTTACATCTGCACCAAAAATCGTAAGACACCTAGAAATAAACCTAACCAAAGATGTAAAAGATCTGTACTCTGAAAACTATAAAACATTGGTGAAAGAAATTGAAGACAACACAAAGTGGAAAAACATTCAATGCTCCTGGATTAGAAGAGCAAATACTGTTAAAATGTCTATACTACCCAAAGCAATCTACACATTTAATGCAATCCCTATCAAAATACTACCGGCATTTTTCACAGAGCTAGAACAAACAAGACTAGTATTTATATGGAACCAGAAAAGACCCCAAATAACCAAAGCAATCTTGAAAAAGAAAGCAACACTGAAAGCATCAGAATTCCAGACTTCAAGTTATATTACAAAGCTGTGGTCATCAAGACAGTATGGTACTGGCACAAAAACAGACACATAGATAACCCAGAAATGGACCCACAAATATATGGCCAACTAATCTTTGACAAAGCAGGAAAGAATATCCAATGGAAAAAAGACAGCCTCTTCTGGGCACCTGGGTGGCTCAGTTGGTTAAGCATCTGACTTCGGCTCAAGTCATGATCTTATGTATCGTGGGTTCGAGCCCCAACTGTGCTCCGTGCTGACAGCTCAGAGCCTGGAGTCTGCTTCAGATTCTGTGTCCGCTCTCTCTCTCCCATGCTCATACTCCCAAGCTCATCCTCTGTCTCTCTCCCATGTCTCAAAAATAAATAAACATTAAAAAAAAATTTTTTTTTAAGCCTCTTTAACAAATGGTGTTGGGAAAACTGGATAGCAACATGCGGAATGAAACTGGACTACTTTCTTAAACTATACACAAAAATAAATAAATTCAAAATGGATGAAAGACCTAAATGTGAGACAGGAAACCATTAAAATTCTAGAAGAGAACACAGGTAGCAACCTCTCTGACCTAAACCATAGCAACTTCTTACTACGCATGTCTCCTGAGGCAAGAGAAGCAAAAGCAAAAATGAACTACTGGGACTTCATCAATATAAAAAGTTTCTGGGGGCACCTAGGTAGCTCAGTTAGTTAAGCATCTGGCTATTGATTTTGGCTCAGGTCGTGATCTGGTGGTCATGGGATTGAGCCCTGTGATGAGCTCTGCACTGATAGGGCAGAGTCTGCTTGGGATTCTCTCTCTCCTTCTCTCTCTGCCCCTCCTCCACTTGTGCTCTCTCTCAAAATAAATATATAAACATTTAAAAAAATAGCTTCTTCACAGCAAAGGAAATAATAAAACTAAAAGGCAATCTTCAGAATGGGAGAAGATATCTGTAAATGGCATATCTGATAAAGGTTTAGTTACCAAAATCTATATAGAACTGATCAAACTTAACACCCAAAACAACAAATAATGCAGTGAAGAAGTGGGCACAAGACATGCATAGTGATTTCTCCAAAGACGTACAGACAGCTAACAGACACATGAAAAGATGCTCAACATCACTCATCATCAGGTAAATACAAATCAAAACTGCAATGAGGTATCACCTCACACCTGTTAGAATGGCTACAATTAACAATGCAGGAAACAACAGATGTTGGTAAGGATGTGGAGAACAGGGAACCCTTTTACCCTGTTGATGGGAAGGCAAACTGGTACAGCCACTGTGGAAAACAGTATGGAGGTTCTTCAAAAAGTTAAAAAGAGTTTAATGCTTACCCAAAGCATTAAAAAATACTAAATACACGCACCCTGATGTTTATATCAACATTATCAATAGCCAAATTATGGAAAGAGCCCAAATGTCCATCAACTGATAAATGGATAAAGAAGATACGGTATCTATACACAACGGAATATTACTTAGCCATCAAAAAGAATGAAAGCTTGCCATTTGCGTCAACACAGATGCAGCCCGAGAGTATTATGCTAAATGAAGTCAGTCAGAGAAAGACAAATACCATATAATTTCACTCATATGTGGAATTTAGAAAACAAATCAAATGAACTGGGGTGGGAGGGAGAGAGACAAAGCAAGAAACAGACTCTTAACTTTCGTGAACAAACTGAGGGTTGCTGGACGGGAGGTGGTTAGGCTGGGGTGGGGGGATAGGTTAAGCAGATGATGGGTATTAAGGAGTGCACTTGTAATGAGCATCAGGTGTTGTATGTAAGTGACAAATCACTACATTCTATACCTGAAACTAAAATTACACTGTATGTTAACTGGAATTTCAATAAAAACTTGGAAGAAAAAAAAAAAATGAAGACCCCATCCCCATTTTCAAGGGAAGATGCCAGTTATCTTTTTATGATGTATGGTTCCCAAATACTACTCTGCATGCAAATGCCAAAATTTGGGACAAGTTTTTACCACTTTATGTTGAAAATCTGGAAAAGAAAGGCCATGTGGGAAATTTTCATAAAGCCAAATTGATTTCATTTAAAAGACTGCTCTAAGATTATGTCCTTAATACTGCCAAATGCTCTTTTGTTCAAGAAATTATAATGAAAGCAAATGACTGTAGGTTTGTTTTACTATGCTTAGTAATGAGAATAAAAAGTCAGTAACACTATTAAAAAAAAAAAATAAGTATGTGTTTGGAGTTTCTCTATGACTTTTCAAGGCTTAGTAACTCATGCCTTTTTACCTCTGAATATTATGTCATTGCCTGGGTGTATGAAAGATTCTTTTCTTCAATTAGTGTTGACACACACATAAAATATACACACACATAAAATATTCACACACATTATGGAAATCCCTTACTTTTTCAACCTAAAGTACGCTGACGCTCTGTTTGTTGGCAACACAGGATTATACGGATCAGCATCCATGCCTTTGGTGTAGCATTCAATCGCTTCATCATATTTTCCTTGTTTGAAGTATTTATTGCCCTGAAAAAGCATATGAGTCAGATACATACTGGCACAGAATTCCAGAGACATTTGCTTTCAATATTATGCATAGCTTTCTAACTCATTAGCTCTGTAATCAAGGTTAACAGTAAAGAAAAGAGAATTAAGCAAAACGGTCTTTCAACAAACGCTGATAATTCGCTATATAGTCATCGTATGGGCACAATCCAAAAGCCCTGGTAGAAAAACGAGTAACACACCTAGCATTATATACCTTTTACTGACAATAACCCACAGAAATGTAACAAAAGAAAGGCATCAAGATGAAGTTTAATCTGAAAAGAGTTCCATCTTTTTGAAAAGCAAAAGGCTTTTTGAAAAGCCTAGTTTTATAACAAGGCTTTTCCAAAGAGGGATGTTTAACATTCCAAAAAGTAACCAAAGATGGCCTGTGATATGGAGGAGTGGAATTTAATACTCATGTCACGCTGATTTTAAGTTACTTTTGTCTACTACAAAAAATCTTAAAACGACTCTCTGTACAGTCCATGCACTTTACATATAGTAATTCCCTTAATATTCATAATAACCCATTGAAATTTACTAATAATATTAATCTGATATTTACAGTTAAGAAAACTGAGTTACAAGCAATTTAAAGAACTTGTCACAGGATCTGAACCCATGTAATCTGGTTTCAGAGCATAAATTCCTAATCAACAAGCTCTACTCTCTCTTGATATGGGTACAGCCAATAAAAACTTAAAATCTGAATACCCCCCAAACTATGTTGAAGAAATACTGGGAGCCATGTGATTTTCTACATATCCTGCTTACATGAAGGAAACTAATGCTAACCTAAAGAATACCTTTTCTTTTAGAGTAAGAGCCTTTTGTGAATCTACATGAATCCCATCTTCTTCTGACTCTGATTCTTGAGACACAGAATCATGGGTACTCTCTTCTTTATCAAGTTCATCAAGGATGCTGTCCTGAAATTGTAAGTAGGAAAACATAGTGTTCATAACTACATGACCATTAAAATAAAGAAGACATAAAAAAAGAAAAAAAAAAAAAAGACACTCAATAGAACTTAGGTTGTTATCACCTAAAGACCTAAAGGTCTAAGGTTGCTTTCAACCCCAATAACCCCTCCTGGTTAGGATTATATCCAGAGAAAAATGTACCCTTAGAAAACCAAGATCCAAACCACTTAAAGAATCTACCTTTGAACACAAAGTAAGCTAAGTCAATAGGGTCCACAAAACACCCCTAGGTCACAAACTATTAGTAGTGAGGTATTAGCTTGACATAACCAAAGTTTGCAAATAACCCCAAATTAATATAATAAACAACCAATAGCCAAGAGAGTGTTTTTTACTAAAACGCTTTTTCCTTCCTTAATCTTAAAACATTAAAAACTGCTTGCAGAACACAATAACTCCTAATCGTCAAAAAACCTATGAGGTAAGTATAGTTACCCATTTTCCACTGCAAGGAACCAAAACACAGAAGTTTGTTAACTCAAAATCACTCAGCTAATAAGTGGTCAAGTCAGGATTTGAACCCAGGCAAATCTGACTCCTCTGTCCGCGGCTGTTATATTGTTTCTCAGCGAATTCCAAAAATATAGCAGACTATGAAAAAAAATATGTATTATGCTAGTCCCGCAATTCCCAATCTCTTTGGGATCACACTTTCCTTTCATGGTAATAAATCATCTCATGAACCCCATCAATATATTTTAAATATATATGATAAAAGAATGGTTTTTACAAAGAGATTTTAAACTAGTAAGCATTAAAGAGTTCGCTAAAGCTCATTTAAATATTTTTTAAAGTTTTTATTTATTTTGGGGAGAGAGAGGCAGAGTGTGAGTGGGGGAGGGCAGAAAGAGAGAGAGGGAGAATCCAAAGCAGGCTCCAGCCTCTGAGCTGTCAGCGCAGAGCCCGACGCAGGGCTCCAACTCATGAATGGTGAGATCATGACCTGAGCCGAAGTCAGATGCTTAACCGACTAAGCCACCCAAGCACCCCCACTAAAGCTCATTTAAACAAAAACTTCAATTATGTAAACAAAATCGTTTTTGCATTTAACAAACAGCATACTATTTTACGTAAAAAAAAAAAAAAGTATTGACAAATTAAAAAATAAAATCTATGCTTAGTTACACTGAATGAACATTAAGAGTTAGACTGAAGCTTAGCTGTGTGTTAGCATGAAGATTCCACAAATACCACCACCCTACCAACATTAACGAGACAAGATTATCCATTCCTGCTATGTTTATATGTGTATAACATCACCAGCAGCAGGACACTAAAGCAGGATGCTCAGATCTGAACTAGAGCGGATGGTAAGTAAACACCTATTATCTTGCATAGATACACTAAAATGACATCAAGCAATGCAGTACATCATGACAGCATTGACCACACAAAGGAGGAGTTCAATCAGTATCTGTTGAATGAACAAACGTTTGTGTAGAAAGCACCTCTCTAGGTAATGATCTGAGATGATGCCTTTCAAGAAAAAGCATTATAAGATACCACCTTATGAAAAGGAAAAGGCTACATAATGAGGGGTAAGGTCACAAAAAATGAAAAGTGGACTATATAATACCCAGCAGAGTAAAAGTCATGTTCAGAAAGTATCATTTCCCACAGTAATAAATCCAAGACCTAAAACCATACTTCTCTTACATCAGGACAATACTGAAACAGATAGCAAACTATTTAATTAATAGTGCCAGCTCCATCTTGAGTCAATTAGCCTTGGTTTCATTAAGAAAAATACAACTAATTTGGAAAACCACTAAGCAGTATCTTCTAAACCTAAATGTGTATATAAAGTATGACCTGGCAAATTCCCCCTGGGTGCTTATATCCATCAAAAGACACATACAATAATGTTCATAACAGGTTTGTTCATAATAGCAACCCAAATGTATGTCAACAGAAGAATGGATACACAAATTGTGATATACTCTCACAATGGAATTCTGATCAGCAATGAAAAAAAGAAATTACTGCTACTGACAATACAGATCAATGTCAGATAATGCTAGCAACCAAAGCTAAACAAAAAGAGTGCATACTATATAATACATTTATATGAAATTCCATAACCGGCAAAACTCATCTAAAATATTAGAGATCACAACAGCAGCTACCTTTGGGGGGCAATCAATTGAAAAGGGAGGTTTCTGAGATGCTGGAAATGTCTTATATCTTGATGTGGATGGTGGTTTCTCAAGTATATATATGAGCAAAAATTCAGATTTTTGCATTTACTGTATGTATAACCGCAAATAAAAATGTTAAACAGGGGCGCCTGGGTGGCGCAGTCGGTTAAGCGTCCGACTTCAGCCAGGTCACGATCTCGCGGTCCGTGAGTTCGAGCCCCGCGTCAGGCTCTGGGCTGATGGCTCAGAGCCTGGAGCCTGTTTCCGATTCTGTGTCTCCCTCTCTCTCTGCCCCTCCCCCGTTCATGCTCTGTCTCTCTCTGTCCCAAAAATAAATAAACGTTGAAAAAAAATAAATAAAAAAAAAAAAAAGTTAAACAGTAAAGTGCAAATAAAATAACAAACACAAAAATCACAAGAGTGGTTATCTATGGAAGTAGAGGGGGAGAAAAGAAGATGGGGTAGGAAAGGAGCACACTGGTAGCTTCAACAGGACTGAAAAATTCTCTGTAAGTTACATGGTGGGCTCACATATTCATTTTATTATTATGCTTTAGACCATATATCTTCACTTACTCTTTTGTATAAATCGACTATTACATTAATACTTTCAGAAAGACTAAAAAGGAACATATATTTCAATCAAACCAAATCAACCCTTAAGGTGGGTGAGAGTCTAGAATAAGGCTGACTAACAGATTGCCTTTCACAGGCTGACCTAATGATGGCTGCTTGAAGCACTACGTAGAGGGTTCGGAGGCAGAGTACTGGTGGTAATTTTCCAGTTATACCATGTGTTACGTGTGGGAGATGGGAGGCAAACAGATTTACCCTCATCTAGAAGGGTGAAGCCCATTCTCTGGGGATCAAGATAGGCCTACTTTTATTGTCCCATAGCCACAGCCCCAAGACTAGACACTAAGACATTCCCTCTCAACCAGTATTAGGTCCTTCAGTCTATATAAAAACATATAGCAGAGTCCTTCTTTTCTGGGAGTTATTACTATCTTAGAATTCTGGCTGTCTAGGGATTAGAGACGGTGGGGAGGAGGGATGTGGGTGCAAGTATTAATGGACAGCACAAGAGAGATCTTTGTGGCGATGCCATATTTTTGAGTTCTAAATGCCATGGTGGTTACCCAAGTGTTCATGGGATAAAATGGCACAGAACTATATACATTGTACCATATCGATTTCCTGGTTTTGATACTGCACTGTAGTTAAGGAAGATATAACCACTGGGGTAAACTGGAAGAAGAGTACACTGGACCTCCACATATTATTTTTGCAAAAAGAGAAAAAAGGAAGAAAAAAATAGGAAAAAAAGAACAGAACACTGGCTGTTTTAGCCACTATACACTGAAAGAGGGCTGCAAGAGAAAAAAATAATGTAGCAAATTGAAGAGCACTATGAATGAATTTGTATCCACATAAAACAATCCAAATGACAAAAACAGGCGTAAGAACTTTATTTTTCATTTAACCCATGACTCTTAGCTAACTCTAAGATAACTTTATTCAAATACTAAGAAGCACAAGAGTAGATTAACTTACCACATCAAGTTTTGCCCATGCTTCATAATCGTAAGATTTTATCCTGTTTTTTGTGTTTTCATCTTTGGTTTTTTTAGAAGACTCTTTAGGTTTGCCTTTCTTCTTTTTCCTAAAATTCCCATTTCGAATAGGAGGTAAATTCTAGGGACAGGGGAAAAAAACACACACAACGTTTTAAGCCCTGCTCTATTAATTACATTTTTGTCTAACTAGCAATGTTTAAAATTCGCACTAAATTATACCTTCAAGTAGGAAGTACTTTTTATTTTTTAAGTATGTAAAAACATCAATTTACCATCTTCACTTATAATTCATGCCTGAAATGTTAAATTCATTCTCTGACAAATGTTAAACATTGTTTAGTCACAAGAAAAGTTAGTATCTAGAAAGTTTCATTATACATTTAATTTCCAATCCTAAATGCACACTTCCAAACCTGCCTGATCTTCAGCCTTACTATAATGAATTAGCAGTAGTACAACAGCAAACTGAACTGCCTCCACATCATTAGTATGAAAAAGCTATCCATATTTAAATGCATACTCTTAAGAAAAACGTTTGGTTGTACCATCTACGTTTTACGCTAATAGTGTATGTTAACATATCATGAAATATATAATTATATACGATCTGTATAATATATATACACACTAAATATTGTATGATGTTACTCATTTACCTTAAGAATTATCACATGGCCTTCCTTTCAGGAACTATTCGCTAAGTCTTAAAACGTCTTCATGTAGTTAATATAAATAATTACAAAGACTTTAAAAAACAGAATTTTTCAGAATGCCGACAGGCAGCAAATCACTTCAAATTCAGTATTTTCACAAAACATTTTAAAAAGTTGTGCTTTGGGGCACCTAGGTGCCTCAGTCAGTTCAGCATCAGACTTCGGCTCAGGTCATGATCTCATGCTTCATGGGTTCAAGCCTCGTGTCAGGCTCTGTGCTGACAGCTCAGAGCCTGGAGCCTGCTTCGGATTCTGTGTCTCCCGCTCTATCTGTCCCTCCTCTGCTTGTGCTCTGTCTCTCTCTCTCTCTCTCTCTCAAGAATAAACAAACATTAAAAAAAAATTTTTAATGGTTCTGCTTCTCTTTAAACTAGTTATGCTGGAGGCTAAAGTAGGATTTAATTAAGAAATTTACCTCTTCAGGAACACCATTCTGTCTTCTTAGTTCCATATCCTTCTGCTTAATATCCTTTTCCCAGTTTTCTAAATCTCTCATAAAGTCTTGTAATTCTTCTGCATTTTGTTTCACTTGTAGTTGTAATTCAATTGCTTTATTTGTCGAAGTCATTATGGCCTGCAGAGTTTTGACCAACCAATCTCTGACAAGAATTAAACAAAAATATTTGGTTTATTTTTTTGAAGCTTAGCTAATTATTTTTTACCACTTCATAAATGGTCAAAAAAACATAGAGGAGAGCCTAAAGTGATGCTGAAGAAAGAAAACATCAGTATATTATTTTTTAGATGAATCAATGTTTGCTGAATGAACAAATGAAAGACAGACAAGTCTGGGAGTTGCTGCAATCAATGTAAATGAAAGGCAATGAGGAAATCACTGAAATTAGCAAGTAGCCCATGGTAGCAGACTGTCTGCCCATCTCTAGCTTATAAATTAATCCTAATTATCTCCTTTACTCCTTTTCAAAATTTATTGAACTTCTGCTATGTGACAGGCCCTGTAAAAACAAGACAAGGTCTTACGTCTAGTGGAGAAGGAAGCAAAATAATCAAGTACTGAGCAACAAAATATTAGGCTAGGCAGGGTTTCTTAACCTTAGGGCTATCAATATTTTGGGACAGATTATTCTTTGTGGTAGGAGATGTGTCCTACGCATTGTAAGATGGTTGGCAACATCTCTGGCCTCTTCCAACTAGGTAGAGGTATTCCCCCTCCCCTTCAGACTGTGACAAAGTGCTCCAGACACTGTTAAATGTCACCTGGGAGGCATAATTAACTCCTGGTTGAGAGCAACTGTGCTAAATAAAGGTACACAGAGATGCTGTGGGACTGACAACAAAGGACAGGCATAAATCAGATGGTGGGTAGGGTGGTGGGTTCAAGGAAAGAGTCCCCAAAGTTGCTGTAACTAGCCAAGCTTCAAATAGGCCAGCCAAGTGATTAACCATGGAGAAGTGGGCAGGCAGACTGAAGGACTAAGAGAATGATGAGAGAGAAGGCCAAGGTGGCTATGGGACAGGTCTTGAAATGCCATGCCATGAGGTCTGAAAGCTATGTGAAAAGTATTATAGTGGGAAAATAAAAGATACTTGATGACTGATTCACATAAGGAGTGGGGGAGCAGAGGACTTAACCAGTGTCTTAGATTTCTGGCTTGGGAGCCTGGTTAAATGAGTAGTGCCATTTTGAGTCTGGATCACAATTTTAAAAGGAAAAAAAGGGGGCACCTGGCTGGCTCAGTTGGTGGAGCATGTGACTCTTGATTTTGGGGTTATGAGTTCAAGCCCCACATTGGGTGTAGAGATTACTTAAAAAAATTTTTCTTTAGACCTTTAAAAAAAAAGAAAGAAAGAAAAGGAAAAAGCTTCAGGATTGGAGGACAAGAGGAAAGGCAAATATCTCAGTTTGAGATATGCTGAACTGGGTGCTTATGGAAGATCAGGATATAACCAGTAGGTACTTATAGGTACACAGGGCTAGAGAGACAAATTTGAGTGTCGCTAGCATAAAGGTGGAAATTGCAATCATGGATTTGGACATGCTTAATCACTGTAACTACAGGTTTAGGTGGGGAAGGACTGGAACCTGGAAAACACTATCATTTGGGGAACAAGCAGAGGAAAAGATGCCAACACACATAGGAAAAACTAGGCAGCAACAACTAGAGAGTTGGTAGGAAAACTTGGGCGAGTAATTTCACCGAATAGAATTCTTAAGAGTTCAAGGTGAGAGGGGCGCCTGGGTGGCGCAGTCGGTTAAGCATCCGACTTCAGCCAGGTCACGATCTCGCGGTCCTTGAGTTCGAGCCCCGCGTCAGGCTCTGGGCTGATGGCTCAGAGCCTGGAGCCTGTTTCCGATTCTGTGTCTCCCTCTCTCTCTGCCCCTCCCCCGTTCATGCTCTGTCTCAAAAATGAATAAACGTTGAAAAAAAAAATTAAAAAAAGAGTTCAAGGTGAGAGAGGTTAGCAGTGCCAAATGACACAAAAATCATCTAAGAGTAATGAAAGTGCATTACATTTGGTCATGTAAAGATTTATTAAGAATTTTATTGAGATTTAAAGAAAAAGTGGAAATAAAATGAGATGCTGAGTAAATGAGATTATATTGGGATTAGCGTGATTCTTTAATAATCTAAAATTGCTCAGGAGTATAGTCTGGCGAAGAGAAACAAGATAAAATCTAGGAAAAAGGGTGAGTGATGGGATAAAGTTCCCAAAAAGGTGGGAGGGGACTCAAAGCTTAAGAGGAGTGGGGGAGTAGAAAGGGAGAGACAGAAATTAGAAAAATTAGTTTTCTAACGGTTGCAAATGCAGATAGGTCTTCTGACCCGTAGCCTGGCCCTAGAACCTAAACTAAGTTTAAGATTCTTTTCAGGCAGTGCCCATGTTTGATCACATATGTAGATCTCATTTGAAAAAGTAAAATAAAGCGAAACCAGTATAGTGCTTTGCTGGGGGCTCAAAAATAGGAATAAAGCCGCAGCAAGCCACTGTGATGCTGCAAAGCGTCGAAACCCTTTCCCATTTCATTCATCACCTCTGCTGCTCCCGCAGGCGCCATGGCTGCCAACGGTACCTGCGACGAGGCTCGAGTCCGAGCAAGCACCCAGAAACTTCCAGCGCGGGGCGTATCGCTTTCACACTCAATATCCGAGCGAACACTGCACACCGACGCCGACAGGGGGCGTGCCCCACCGCAGTTCTCTCGGGAGAGTGGATCTGCGGTCCGACCACCGCAAACCCGCCCAGTACCCCGGGCAGCCGGGGTGGAGGGACGGTCAGCAGAGCAGGCCGTCCAGACTCGGGCGCGCGGAGCAAGCCCCTTCCGGAACGCTTACCCGGGACGCCGCTACCCTGGACACCACCGCGCCCTCGCCGCCCACCCTCACGCCCTCACGCCCTCACGCCCTCACGCCCTCACGCCCTCCGCCTCACCCGGGACCCACGGCCGCGCGCCCCCTTCGAGCCACGCGACCCCAAAAGCCCCGTCGGCTGCCAAAGCCGGCGATAACGACAAGGCCAACTCACCTCACTAGGCCGTTACTGCCCGCAAGGCCGGCATCCCAGGCTCGTAGCAACTCACGCCGAGCCCCGCCTTCCTGAGCTTTCCCACAAGTCCCCGCGTGCCGTCGCCCCGCCCCCTGGCGTCCAGGCGGAGCATGCGCAGAAGGTCAGGTACAGTGCGCGGTTCTTCTCAGGGTACAATTAGAGAATTGACAGGTGCGTTAAAGCCGAATCAGACGTCTTGCCTGCTTGCACTATAACTAAACTTCACGGGAGATAACCCCCAAACTGCAGAGTCACCCTGACTTGTTCCGATTGCCAAAATAATAACTCCTTGACTATTTCCTTGGACTCCCCTCAAGATGATTTCATCCTGAATATTTGCCCTGCGGGTGTCTATAGGTCACGACCTTTGTAAGTACGATAATCATCTGAAAAAGTTACCGTTTCTCTATCTGAACAAAGGGTGTAATCTTGTAACTCTGACAAATGTGCAAGGTTGTTTTGTTTTGCTTCCTGTAAGTACTTGTATTTGACAAACCAATTCTTCAGTCTGCCTCTCTTCACCTTTGCGAGTAAACTCTGCTTTTCTAAGTGTATCTGACTCTGAGTCTTTCTTGGTCGTGTGTCAGTACTAAGGTTTCTCTTTAGAGTGCCCTGGCTTACAAAGAAGAAAGAATGTGAACCTTTTAACATTTCTTGCGTCTGCTTCCTGTATGAGTGAGCTTTCTTTAATTTTTCAGGACTCTAAAATTGTAAAACAAAAATAATTTCAAAAGTCCATGAAAACAAACGGAAGCAAAGAAACCTGTCAGTTCGAAACAACTCAGTGATCTCAGACATTAGCCTCAAAATCCAGTTCAGTGGCTCTCAGGCTTGACTGAACTTTGAAATCATCTATGGAGCATTTTAAAAAAAAATCTTATTTCTAGATTTTGTCCCCAGAGATTCCGATTTAATTCCCAGTGCAGCCTGGGAATCCTGATTTTTTAAAGCACAGGATACAATTGTTCATTTAAGACTGGGAGCCACCAATCCAGATAATCATCAATGAAAACCCACCCTGGGGTCCTCTCTTACAAGGGCAGATCATTAGCTCATCTTTCCCACTGTATATTTATATAGTATCTTTGTATTTTCACATCATGATAGTCAAATCATCGAGTGTATCATCAACATATTTACTAATGAAATGATCCTTTTGGTTTTGTGTTTTCAATTATAATAAATCATTTTAAAACAGATATTGATTTATGGATGTTCTTAACAAAAGCAATCTATTTTTTTAAATGAATTCTACCAGAGTCAATTGAGATGAGAGGGATGGGGGCTGCTGGCTCCTTTAGTAAAACCTCATAGACCCTTGGGTGAATCCTCCCTCCTATTTTTCTTCCTCTCAAGTCACATAATAGACAATTTCTTAGTGAGTACAGAAGCAAAGTGAAAGGAGTTAAATCAAATGGTCTTGATGGCCTTTGTTACCTAATTCTGAGGCTCACATTGTTCTACCAAAAACAGCTATGCCTGTAATGACCGCCTTCTCTCTTGTGAGCCCAGACATGGGCCATTGTAAGTTCTTTTCTAGAGTGCAGACTTCCCCACTTCTGTTGACATGTCTTCAAATAGTTTTCAACAAGGTTGGTAAATTATGCTTTTATGTCTCATTAATTAATTTCTTTTTAGGGAAAACAAACCCCAGTCATCTCAATTGCACTTATTGTTAATATCTGAATAGTCACTTTCAAAAAGGTGTCTCTATGTGTTCTATATGTTGAATTTCTAATAGTGGAAGTATATATAAATGTTTATTATTGCAAGAGTAAAATGCTGCAATTAATGATTATGAATGGTGTTAAGTTTGTCAATGGTGTTAATGTCTGAAAAAATTATTGACATCTTCAAAATAGCTAAATAAGGAAACACTCGGAAAGTTAATACGAATCTTAAGGAAAGGAATACTAGAGGCTCCTGGGTGGCTCAGTTGGTTAAGCGTCCAACTCTTGATTTCAGCTCAGGTCATGATCTCACAGTTCATGAAGTAGAACCCCACATCAGGCTCTGAGCTGACAGTGTGGAGCCTGCTTGAGATTCTCTCCCTTGCTCTGT